GTCGGGCGACGAGGCCGCCCTGCGTCTCCTGCTTCTCGAGGTGGTGCGCGCCAACGATCACGACTCCTTCATCCGCCGCTACCCCCAATGGTACGTTAACAGCCCGTACGCGCACGCACACGCACACGCTTCGATCTAAGCCTCTTCAGCGCCGATCTGATCGGCAACCAACAGGGAGGCCACCTACCGCCAGGTCCGCCAGCAGTTCCACGCCCTGCTCTCCCTGCTCGAACAGGTGTACAGCCCCCTGATCTCCCGGCCCAGGTACTGCAGCCTGCAGCTTTGTTTGGCGTGCGCGGTCGTGTGCGGTTGTGTGGCCACAATGGAAAGTGTTAGCCGAGGAGCCGACCTGAACCGCAATGAGCAGAGAGGAGTTTCTGGCGGCTGCGCAGAAAGGCAAATTGAGGAAGGTGCTCTTCAAGATGGCGCGGAAGAGCGTATGCGATGTGCGGGACTATCTGAACGACGTGGCGCCCAAGAAGCTCGCCGCTTGGATGCGCCTCGCGACGGTCACCCACCGGCCGTAGCGAGAACCCTCCTCGTATTTGATCAGAATGAACACTGCCAAGGCGCCTACTCGATTTGTCATCGTTTCTTGGCCCACCAGAAGAAGAAGAGCAGTGGCTCTACCAAAGAAAGGGCAGATAAAAAGAAAAGAAACTGCGAAGAAATGAGCGCTTTTTGGTCTGCTCAGGCCTCTGCGGCGTTGGTGTGGGCGAGCTGCGGATGCTGGGCTCCTGCGGTTTGGAGCCATCGCGAGTAGCAGAGGGCGGCCGCGGTGACTGCGCCGAAGGAAATGACGACGAGGACGCCGAACTGCTCCGGCGAGAAGAACACGATGCCCATCGCGAACGAGAAGAGCGAGAAGATGTTGGTGAGCGAGTACTCCACCGAGTTGATGACGCCCCGCGACTCCGCCGGCACATACTCCTATCAACACCGCACACGCACGCACGCACGCACAAATGAGCATTTTTGGTTTTAACGGTGAGGTGTGTGCGGGCGACGGCGGCGTGCCTGCATGAGCTGGCGTTCGGCGAGGTCGAAGGTCCAGAGGCCAATGCGCGAGAGGATGAGGCAGAGGAGAAACACCCAGAGCGACCAGGAAGTGTAGGCGTTGTTGTTACTCTCCTCCTCTTGCAAGAAGAGCGCGCTCAATGCGCTGGCGAGGCTGAGTTGGCCGTCGGCGACGAGGCGGCCGAACTGGACCACGTTGGGCACCAGGAAGAACACGACACCCACCAGCAAGCACACATCCTGGCTCCAGATCGCGTACAACCCTGCGTGTGTGCGGTATGCGCGGTATGTGCGATGGGTGGTGCGTGAGTGCGTGAGTGCGTGAGTGCGGTACGAATGTAAAGAAGAAGACGGGCGACGACGTTACCCGTTTTCTCAATGCCGAATCGCTTGAAGAGGCGAGAGGTGAAGAAGGTGGGGATCATGCCGATCACCGACGATATGCCCATGTAGAGGGCGATGTAGATTTCGTTGATTCCGTGCGTCAGCAGGTACGCCGACATCAACGCCCCCGGGCTGCGGCCGGATCACACCATGACACCTCCTTATTAGGTACACTGCTACACTGCAGTTACATTGCAATAACCGCCGGTATCGTAGGTCCAGAGGCGTACCTCAGCGCGGTCCAAAAGAGGAGGGCGTAGGCGAAGCTGGCGAGGAAGGTGCGGCGGGAGGCGATGTAGGCGCGCCACCCGGCCCACAGGGTCGAGAAGGCGTTGCCGTGCGCCTGCCTGACGACGATCTTCTTCTGCAGGCCCGGCACTTCGTTGTAGATGTGCAACAGCGAGAGCAGCTCCGGCAGGATCGACACCGCATTCCACATACACACGAATATCAAGCTGCCCGCTACACACATACATATCCACATGTTGATGTTATTTACACAGTTCGATTGTATTATTCAAGACCAAGATAAAAGTTAAGTAACGTACTGGTGGATGTGATGGACATGACGAGGGAGAAGGCCACGGGGGCCGCCACCTTACAGAAAAGGCTAATGCGTGTCACCATGGCATTGGCGTCTGTCACAACACAAGTTTAAAAACAGTTACAAGGGAACATAATGGCCAATCAGCAATTAAGTGTTGTGCGTTACCGGTGAGGGCGTCTCGATCGCCCGAGGTGAGGACCACCACCCAGTCGCGGCCCACCGCAATGTCCTCGGCCATGGACGCCAGCGCCGCCACCGAACCCACCTGTGTGGACAGAAAGGGGTGAACCAGCTGCGTGTGCGGTGCGGTGTGCAACAGACATGCGCGCGTGCGTGTGCGCACACGAGTGCGGAGGATGGCCTGGTGCTGGTAGGGTACCGCGACGAGGGAGAAGAAGAGGGAGAGGAATCGCCAATCGCTCAGCGGCGGGTGGGGTGCCTCGAAGGGGAGGAGGAGGTAGAGGAAGACGGCGCAGATCATCACGCAGCCGTTCTGCACCATCAGCGAAAAGGTGATGATCTTCTTGCGGTCCACCTCATCCACCATGCGCCCCATCCACGTCCCTAGCCGTCAGTCGTACAGGAGTCAGCGACCATGCGAACGAATGACATCGTGTGCCGTGTGTGTGCTGTGTGTCGTGTG